AATCAACACAAGGCTTTGATTTATGAGTGCTAGAGAACATTCCTTTTTGTGTTGACCAAGCCGTCCATTAAATTACTGCCTTGTGTTTCATTTTGATTGCCATGTGTTACATTCCATACCATCAAGATGACACAGACCATAACGCACAGTGAAACCATAAAAACGGAACAAATATGTGAACCAGTGCTCTCGGACCAGACCGTGTGAAGTGCAGCTGACCCAATTTAATATATAATGGCGGGAAGGGGGGTTCATCAGACCTTACCCGAATGTACAAACTATGAAAACACTGATACCTCGGGGGTTTGGGCGCGAACAGCTGACTTCCTACCTAGCGGACCCATATCCTACCAATTGGACTACTAAATACTGGCTTGCTCTCCACCAAGCTTATGCGGTCAAGCTCCACACATCTCTCTGATATATGTGTGTCTAAAGGTTGGTGCCTGCCATGAGTGGAGCTCTTGTATAGTTCTGGCGCTGGGTTAGACACAGGCAGCATCAGAATATCTAAAAGACACTGGTACTTGATCGAACGTAGTATGATAGATCTTGAAACGGGAAGCCCTAATACACATAGTTTGAGTGCAATATAGTGGTTTCATACCACTGACCTCCCAATTACCTATCCGATGCTCTTACTGGTCATTTGAGTTATTCGAAAGCTGCTTTTGGAATAATCTACCAAGATCCGTTTAGTGTCTTTATCTGAACGCGGACGAAACCGATGCGATTCGCTCCGTACACCCATAGAGAGCTTTCGTTCGTGTACTGAAACTTCCATAGCCTGTTCAAGTGATCACTGACCATTCAGGCTGGTTGATCGTGACGTCAACGGTTTTTGCGCTTTTAATCGCAGACCTCGCTTCATTTTTGCTTTACTCCTTTGTGTCATTCACTCGTATTTGTTTTACAAACCCTCAAACTGTAGTGAACAACAGAAAATATCGCGAAAAAATTGATGTCAGTCGGTCTGTGCTAGAGTTCAGATGCCGGGTTTAACTGAGTTAGATATGATGCCTGTCAGCTGGGTAGATTGCAGATGTCTTTTACTTGAAATGGACTGATAGACAAGGCAACTACAGGGAATAGGTTATGCTTAAAGACAGATATCTACCCCTAGCTGGGCTTTACCAAGTTTTACCCTCATCTACCTACCTACTGATGATGTCATGTCAGTAGGCAAAGAAATTTGCAACAAAATTAAGAAGCTCAGTGAACCATTAACTGATCAAAATGCCCCTGTCATTTCATGTCATGCATAGAATAGGACAATAATGGCTACGAAGAAATATCCAAAGTGCCTCACTTTATTTGTCCACAAAAATTCAATAATTGAACTCAGGGATGAGGGAGATAGATGTGAAAAACTGAGTTGGCAGGAATCACCAACACAACAGTGTCATCATTTTGTTAAATTAAATTAACACTGAAAGTTTGTTTCGGCCGAACGATAAAGACAACATTACTGGACAAAAAGTGAGTAGTAGTAGGCCAGTTCTTGTGCGAAACGTCCACCTCGATCTTCCGGGAATTTTCCATATGAAAGAAAAGATTTTGATTGATTCCTTGAGAGGATTGATTTGAAGTAATAAGTTATGTGCAATGGAAAAAATGAGTTTTCTCCAGGAAACTTTGCTCCTCAACAAAGCATAAACCTGATGCGCTGAAGAAATCGATTTATGTTGACTGTGAGCTTGGTTCCACCAACTTACACAAAAATCTAGCAAAGCTGTTAATTGGATGCCCGAAAAATATGGACCGTGGGCTGCAGACACTGTTCATCAAGAGTGTTAAGGTTGACATGATAGCAAAGGTGAAGTTTTTGGTAGAGCGCTTCCCATAGGGCTACTCTTAGACAGCCCGTAGCCGAGTTTGCCCTTCTTGAGGCTCATCGAACGGGCTTAGTCTCCGAGTTTCCGTTAATCTTATGTTCTATTTGAACCTGAATCAGACACGACTGACGATCTACTCTTACAAGAGGTATTAGGCTGGGATTCAGTCAGGTCTGTTTGAAAGCTAGATTAGTGTGAAAATAACTCAACTGCTTCATCCAAAACCCAAGCCATTCTGAAGATGAAACGCTTTCTGAAACGCTCGGAGATTGATAGTGAGACGATTCCACTGCCTCAGTAGATGGGATACAAAAAAAAACAGAATTTTAACACTATCTGGTAATCTGTCAGTCCGTTCCTACAGCACGCGTGCTCCACTCTGTTGCACATTCCTTGAGGAAACAGCGATGACCTGCTGTTGTTCTGTTCAACATTGGCTCACCTCATTAAACTCTGACCAAACTGTTCTGGGTACCACTCATAAACTTTGTGCCTTTGCGTTGACTGAGCACACAATTTTTACTCCGTTCAGAACAATAATACACAATGATACATAATACCATATCATGTCACAATGTACTATGACGAATGAAATATGTCCTGGTACGAAAACTGTCCAATCGGAGACTGAGGTTATATCAGCTCAGTTCCAAAATGCCTTCTGCTGAATCAGGGAAAGGGAAATTCATTGCATCATTCACAAAATTCCTTATCATCGACGGTGGGAAAGATAACATTTATATGCCCATGAAGATCAAGGAAAATCTACCAGTTGCACCCGAGGTGACTCATTAAATGAAGCACC